AGATTATTGCAAAATTTCATGTTTTTCGTCCAGTTTTGCATGTTTCTCGGAAGCAAAATGAGCAAGAACGCTCATTTGTACATCATTCTAGAGAGAAATAAATAGCCTTTTTAGAAAGTGAACCATGGATGGGGAAATGTTGGCAGTTTTCTCAAAAAAGGCTTGAATTCAAGAAGTTTTAGATTTGCGTGGTTTTTTTTTGAGTTGCAAAATCCACTTGAACACGACGCTGCTTTTTTCGAAGTTTTTGAAGAACCATTCGAGCCACATAATTCGTTTTGGCATCGTTGGATAGAGAATTGAATTGAACGTGGCCGTGCATAAATTGCGGACGATATTTATTTTCCCTGGAACCTTTTACGGTGTTTTATTGTCTGCTAACCTTGATGATCAGCGTATAATCATTAATTATAATCAGCCAATCGAAGGCTGCCAAACCGCACAAAGGTGCAAAGTGGGGTGGAGGTCGGAAATTGGCCCGGGTTGATGTTCAAGGAGAACAGGGGTGTGTTTGTGCAACGAAAACAGCCCCTTTAGCGCATCGATAAATCATGCAATTAGCTTGAAAAACTGTTTTCTTTTTAAGCTGTATTTTGTGTAGATTCAGCGCCAAAGAGGCGATTTTTGACCCGATAACGGACTTTTTCCGCAGAAAAGTGCTGAGGTAAGAGGCTGAGGGACTAGTGGGCTAGTTGGGATAGAACAGACTGTAGCTCTTTGTGTATATAATGTGAAAACTGTACATATTTCGGGGTGGATCGGAGGATTCTTCGTCCAACATCAGCAAGGCGATTTCAAGGTAAAAACGAATCAATAGAGCGCCGATATGAGGTTCAAGATAAACGAATCCGGCCTTGAGTTTAATGTTGAAAAATGCGTGTTTCTTAAACAGCAGTGGTTAAATGCTTATTTTTAGACGTCGCCACCAGAAGAAATTAATAAAGTGCACGCTTTCTGGTTCTGTACACATCAATTTGCAATCGTCTTCCACATCAGTCCAGCCGGAGGAATCTTCACGACAAACAAACAACCTGTGAGGGTTTGGTTTTCTTTCATCCCTCATGGGCGCATCTGTGAGCCAAAATGCGTGGCGGATCCTCAAAAATGTCGGCCACAACTCCTCAAAACACGGGAATACGGATCGAGAGGCGTTTTTTCCCTTCTTTAAGTATTGCCGCTTTGCGTGATTAAAAGTCGAGTAGCTGGAAACACTGAAAACTACAAAATGGCGTGCTATTCAAATGACCAGAATCAACTCAGGGGCGTGCTGCTAACAATTCGCCCTGATCTGAGGCGTCATATTTATTTATAAAGCGTTCGGAATGAATGGTGCAAAACAGGGACAATAGTTCGGTCGCATGAGAAAATTCCCAGGAATTTTGGTTAAAGGCGGCAACATGACGATTTTTCCGGTTCCCAGTCTTCTGACAGGGAAAACGTTTAATTGCCCAATTGCTGCTAAGCTCCGCCCATGGGCGGTTATTCTTGACGGGAGGGGGTAATTATTTGGACCTCAATGACATTCTGAGATAATTTTGATTGAAAAAGTTTAGCCCCGCCTTTAGGCGTTTCTACTAAAGTGGGTTGAACAGATCTGAAGATGCAAGCCACTCGTGCTGGCGAAACGTTAGATTCCACCTGGGCCTAAAAGTGCGAAAAACTCACCAATTTTATCTCATTTATTTGTTTAGTAGCACCTTGCTCCCAATAGTCAGAGCACTTAATTACATTTTCTGGTAAACTTTCACTTGTTTCTAATCGCTTTCAAATTGAATAATCTGATATTTGCAAAACAGCTAAAGTAACGCCTTTAGGCGGGGCTTAGATGAGGCTCCATAGCTTAGGTCTAGTTGACTCCGCCCAGAGGCGTGGCTTAATTAAGCACATTAAATTGATCACAGTCAAACGAACGAAAAATCAGCAATTCTATCCCATTTTTTGGCTTATTAGCGAGTCAGACCTTTTGCTCCAAATAGCCAGATAAGTTAATTATCTTTTTCTTATTATTGGCTTCAATAATTTCATGGTCATTTGCCCTTTGAAGTGCAAAATTATCGCCATTTTGAGTTTTCTTCGTCTGATAGAACTTCGCTTGCCCCAAATATGTCCATCTAACTAATAACAAGCGTTGGATGCAATTGAACACATTAAAAACCTGGAATTTTAGAGCAATTAATCAAGAATGTCAAAAAAAAAACACAGAAAGGCCCAGATTAGTTGATAAAGAATGCTCCACTACTGACAGTGCTAATGACAGTAAATAGTAATTGACTTTTGGCGGTGACGATGATGGGCGGGGCTAAAATGATTTGAACCAATTAGTGGATTAGATCTAGTTGACTCCTCCCAGAGGCGTGGCCAATTATGTAGGTGTTCAATTGCTGTCAAAGTGAAACCAGGCAATTTTAAGTTTATTTAAAACTTTAAACGTGTCTATTTAAATAACAACATTCATGATAAGCTATTGCAGACATTAAAAAGGGGATTTTTTTGGGGAATCTAGAATTGCAAAACACCTAAAGTAACGCCTTTAGGCGGGGCTTAGATGAGGCTCCATAGCTTAGGTCTAGTTGACTCCGCCCAGAGGCGTGGCTTAATTAAGCACATTAAAYTGAAATCRCAGTCAAACGAACGAAAAATCAGCAATTYTATCCCAYTTTTTGGCTTATYAGCAARTCAGACCTTTTGCTCCAAATAGCCAGATAMGTTAATTATCTTTTTCTGATTATTAGCTTCAATCATTTCATGGTCATTTGCCCTTTGAAGTGCAAAATTATCGCAATTTTGAGTTTTCTTCGTCTGATAGAACTTCGCTTGCCCCAAATATGTCCATCTAACTAATAACAAGCGTTAGATGCAATTGAACACATTAAAAACCTGGAATTTTTGAGCAATTAATCAAGAATGTCAAAAAAAACACAGAAAGGCCAAGATTAGTTGATAAAGAATGCTCCACTACTGACAGTGTTAATGAYAGTAAATAGTAATTGACTTTTGGTGGAGACGATGATGGGCGGGGCTAAAATGATTTGAACCAATTAGTGGATTAGATCTAGTTGACTCCTCCCAGAGGCGTGGCTAATTATGATGTTTAAGATGTTAAATTGTTGTGAAAGTGAACCAGGCAATTTTTCTTGGTTGCTGTAAAGTCCGCCACTGTGTTATAAAGAAATCGTTTTGGCCGTTGGCCAGCCAAGGTCCGGCAGGTCGTTTCTAAGACCGCAGTGAACCCCCAGTCCTACATCGACCATAATATAAATTTTCCACTTTCCAGTGTGCTGAAAAGCTGCCCCTTTCCAGTGTCCTTAGCGGGTGTTTTTGTTGTTTGGGCTTCCAGGGCGTTTAAGGTTTAAGGAAGACTGTAGTTGAAAAAATATTTCAGTTGTTCAAAAGAACTGAGGTAAGGCGAGAGTGATTACTTTTTTGCTTATTATCGATCTTGACGCCTGTGAGACTTTGTCCGTTTGCAGTAAATCGTCAAATTCGCTCTGCAAAATGACGGTTCTCCGAATAAGCGTGATTGACCGATACAAATGGTACTTTTACGTGTTGTTTTTAGACAGTGTTTTTTCGCATTATAGATGTGATGTTGCACTTGTGAACCATGTTTTTGTTGTTTTGACTTAGTCTTGATTGCATGCCCGTAAATCGTCTGCCTTGACTTTTGACTAGCAGCGGTGCTTTTTTGACTGTAGACTCGGTTGAAAAATGACCTTTATATACGTAGCCCCCTTGCATGAAGAGTATAATGGCTATGGTCATGTGGAAAATGGCGTAAATGCGGTCAACGGACATGCAGGGTAAAAACATCATATATGGTTTCTGTTAGCGTAGAACACTTTCTCTGCACGAACTTTCGCTTGCATTGTTTTATCGCCAATTTATTTCTAGTTTGAGTGTTTTTTCATGGTTTGCCCAAAAACTGCAGCTCAAATAGTTCGAGAACCACCAAGTCCGCCTATGGGCGGAGCCAAACGGAGCAACTTTTCCCGGCCGAGAAATATAATATTCGGGGTGGTTTTTAAAGCAGAAAATTCGTTTTTTAGCTTCGTCTCTTCAATCTCTTGATATAGATAGACGGTGAAACGTTAGTGCGATTTATTGCATGGTAAACAACGCCGATGGGCGGAGCTTAACAGTTTACCAGAACCACTTGAAATCAATCACAAATTATCAGCGATTTTCATTAGAATTTGTGCATTTTTCTGCATGCATGCGCATGCTAATAATGCGGCATAAGGGAGGAGCTAACTGAGTCTGTAGCAATTTAATTTTCGCTTTCAATTACTAAAAATATAACGCTTCCGGAAGTGGACTTGCTGTTTAATAAGGCCAAGAAAAACACTTAAGCAGTGCAATTAAAAACAAAACCCTCCACTTAAGCGTTTAGCGGTGCAATGAATCAATGCGAATTTACGGCTTATTTAGCATAACTCCCCCAACCCCCACGGGTTTTAAAGAATGCCAGCCTTTTTTCCATTCTTACCATGTGTAGAAACTACACACTATCACGTTGTTCTTTCTCTTGGCGTGTGAAAACTATCGATTCGAGTTGCGATTTGCGGGTTTGTTGACAAAGTACAGTCCATTTGTTGCTAATCGCAGCTAATGGGAATTTTTCCTCCCATTTGGGTAGTTGCTTTGTGGGGTTCTTGCGCAAGATAATTTACTGTCTGTCTTTGCTTTTAGAGAAAAACGAATTCTTCCCATTCATTTCAGTCAAAACTCGTGCAATTTTCAGCCTCCCCCCTTCGCAGCAACAGCCGCCTCCAGAGGAGGATGCCTCCGCAAAAGAGGAACTTCCTCCAAACAGATGCAAACGCTTCCTCACCTCGTGCAGCAAAGCCCTCACTTGCGGCTCCTGTCTAACTTTGGGATGCAAAGCGTGCCAGCGATCCAAGAGCACCTCAAGAAATGAGGAGGAGGCTGAAGCAGCACAAGGCTGCTTTAAGAGTCTCACCAAGAAGCTGACCAGGGAAGCTAAGTAAGCGTTGCTTTTTGCCTTCTGCCAAAACCATTGCAATTTCCCTGGAATATTTGTTGTAGGGAACAAGTGAGGATCAACATTGAGGACGAAAACGGGCAAACTGAGAGCAGAACGCTTTGGCAAAAGGTCTGCTGCAGGCAAAACAAAGTGGGCGATTCGAGCGGCTGTTTCCCCAAATTCGGGAGAAGTAAGGAGAGAGCTTCGGTCAGAACGACCAGCTTTTTGGAGTCTGAAGTGCAAGGAAGGTAGGATTTCAGCTGGTTGATTGATTGGCCTGCTTTAAACACGCCCAAAGGCGGGGCTTGTCGGTTATTCATTGAGTGGCACATGTGGGAGGAGCTTAACCTAAATATGTCCATCCACTTCGTGTCTTTATTTCTGGCAATTGAGTAGAAGTTTGATTTTTACGACAAAATCTGTATTTGATTTTTTTTCTAAAAATATTCGTTTTCTGCATTGAGCACAATTTAAGAACAAAACGTTTGAAAAAGAAGTGATAAAGTTTTATGTTTTTTAGTCTCTATTGGTTTTAACGCAAAACA